TCAGTCAGAGAGAAACTAAGCTATTTTTAAGTCTGGCTTATGGCACTTGTGTATGAAAGCTAAAGGAAGATTTAAAATAAACTATGGTATGGACTAAGCTGATTAGCTCTTCAGCCACTCTCCTCAAAGAACTCTTTTCTCCCTCTCCCAGAAAACTGTCCTCGACCTAAGCTAGTGCTGACCAACATCTCTGGACAACAGGCTGCACAGCTCAAAGCAGCTGTGGAGTGGTGCTGGAAGAAGGCTACCAGCACTCCCTGTGGGTTATGTCTTTCAGCTTCCCTCTCCTGCCTTTCTGGGTCCCCACCTAATACAGAAATCACTGCTTCAAGTACTGATCCAGCAAAAAGACTGCGAGCACAACCGAGCTCACGACAGTCACTAGTGCTGGCACATAAAAACACATCATGGCAAAAAGAAAAGCCACACTGAGATGCTTCCTGGGATGGCTCAAAGTCCTCATGAAAGCACTGGGCTGCCCTGGCACCTCCTCTGCCCACAGAGCACACTTGCTGTGTCTGCACAGAGTCACTCTGGGCAGGCAGTGGCTCTGTCCCCACCAGGGAGGTCAGGGTGCCAGCACAAAGTACCCAGGAGTGAGCAGCTGTCCAAGACCAAACCTTCCCAGAAAAGACAGCAAAGGCAATCCACAGGCTGCTGGGCAGGCTGTCCCGGGAGCAGCTCAGAAATGGAGAGGAGGCAGCAGGACAGGTGACTTCTGCCAGAATTCAGAAGCCATGCATCATCAGGGTTGGCCTCTGCAGTCCTCCCCAGTCACACTGCATCACAACCCAGCACGTGGCTGGGGGAGGTAAAACCAGTCAGGAAACCAAACCAGTGGTCAGGAACTCACAGTGTCACCCACAGGCAGCTCACGTTGCCCCAGCACAAAGAGGACAACAAGGATGACATGTCCCTCTGAGTCACAACAGCCTCCAAGTTGTGGGCTGGCTGCCCTACCCTGATGAGTCTCTCCCTGTTCCTGTTTACCAAGCAGAGATCATGGAGTGGGGAAACAGAGGCTGGGAGATGTGCTGACAAATCACCACCAAGCAGAACCATGTATTGGAGGGAGAGAGGACAAGAGTTCAGGGCTTCAAATACTGCTAAGGTTGAACTGTTATGAACAGCACAGGGATAAAAGCTTGAGTTATTTGTGGCAGCTCAGGAACAGAGGAGTCACAGCATTTGTGCCAATCTGCTCATCTGAGGAATGCTGAAAGCAAGCCATCCACAGATTCATGGAGAGGTTTGGACAGGAAGGGACCTTGGGACATTCTTTCTTCACTCTTCTGCCCAAAGCATAAGTAACTCTGAAACTTCTATCAGGCAGCAGACTCAGGGCTCTCCCAGGCAAATTTGATGGGGGAGATGCCAGTGCCTCTCCAGGCATCCTGTTCAGGTGCACAACCATCTTCACAAAGGAAAATTCTTTCTTATGGCCAGCTGGCATTTCCTTTGCCACAACTTGTGACCCACTGCCTCTTGTCCTTTTATTCCAGTTGACAACACTCAGGAGACAAGCACACAATGGCTCAGGAATTAACTACCAGCAAGTCTTAAAACCAAACTGTTCAACACATTTTGAATGGAACTGAGGGCTGCTGCAATCCTACCCTTTTGTCTCCCAGCTCAGGACATCCCTTTATTGACTTGCCTTCAATTAATAAAGGGAACCTTGAAAAGTAGACCTCAATTTAAAGAGGAAAAAAAAAAGAGGAGTAATTTCTGACAGTGACATCAATAGATGAAATCATCATCCATTATTTTCTGGCCAGCTTTGCACTAGTTATCTCCCTGAACCAGCTCACCACAGGACAGGGTAGCAGTGTGTCTGCATGAGGGAAGGGGTAGAAAAACCCAGCAAATGCAAGGGCAGAATCCCACAGCCCTGACATGTATGATCCCAAAGTGCTGTGGAACCACTCCCTGTGTGCTCAGCACAGACAAGGAGGTGACAGGAGGGCTGGGACTAGAGACTGCAAACTCAGTTCTCCTCTGCTCTCCGAGGATAAGAACTATCTCTTCCTTCAAGAAGTAGCAACAGATCAACAGACTGACAGATCTGATTTGTTCCACGTTACCTAGAAACCTTGTCAAGACAATTTTTCAATGGTATCCTGGCAGCCTCCCCCTCCCAGAAAAAAAACAAACAAAACAAAACTGCACAAAACACAAACACAGTAAATAAATATGACCTCTTATCAATTAAGACTAAATCCACCAGGATAAAAAATATCTACCATTCAACTAAAAGTAAGTTTGAATCATTCTTGTCCTTCTCAAAGGACGATGGTTTTATCTCATGAACAGTGGAAAATCCAAAGCTAAGAAAACCTGATCAGTCTTAAAAGTTTCTTACATACACCAAATGGACTTTTTGGATGCTGTACTTGCTTTGAAATATCCACCAGTAAAGGATTTTACCAATGCTGAGGAAGAAAAGTCCAATGATGGCAGAGTTTTATAAATCATTTTGTTTGCTTCTCTAACAAAAGCACCTTTCTGGGGCAGGTGCATTAAGACACAGGAGACAGGGCAGTGCAAAAGAGGAAGTTTTTCCAGCAGCTGTGGCAGGGCAAAGCAATTTGTGCTGCAGTCCCTCCCTCCCTCTTCCCCTGTGCTGGCTCTGGGGTGAGCACAGGAGCTCTCAGCCTGGAAAACAGGGGAGGCAGGGATGTGTGTTTTGGCTGCTAGGATATGATGTGGTGGGAGAAAGCAGGAGAGAACCAGAGCATACTGGTTTTAAATCCCCTCAGTCCAAGAAAAACAGGGGAGAAGTTAAAAAGGTGGTCCTGACACCTGAGTCATCCCCATAGCTCAGGTTTCTCTCCCACAGTGACATCACCAATCCAAAATGGCACTGCCTAATGCCAACCCAAGGAGCCTCTTATCAGAGCAAGTCACACACAGGCAACATCCCTTGGCAGGCTGCAAGGAGGCATTGTGTGAGCTTTGGGATCCTTCCTTCTCCATTAAGAGCCACTGGGAGCTTCTATCCCATTTTTTATCATAAACCTCAGTTTCTGTTGTTTATTAGCAAGTGTCAGTATCAAACCAGAGTGCAGTGCCCTAAACTAACAATGCTGAGCACAGAAAGACAACAGCTTTGAGCAAAATCAGACTCCTCAACACTTCCTGAAACTCACTTCACCAAAGCCTTTCTTGAGTAAGTCTTGTTTCGAAACCAAATCACTCACATTTTAAACCTAAATGTGAAATGCCATCACAAACTCCAGAAGGAGATACACAGGGAATAACTGCACATCCTTACCTCACACACAAGTCAAATAACCAGCTCTAGGGCAGGGGCTGAAATATCCATTCTGAAAAGGAGCTCAGAAGGATTCCTCTTCCTCTCCCCTTGCTAAAGTGCTGTTCCTAGGGACAGGCTTTGCCACTTACACTGCTTGAGAGCTTCATTCCCCCAATCCCTTCTTCAGATGTCCTTTAAAGGGAAGTCACCACGATGGAATCAACACTGGGGAGCCTCCCCAGAAGAGATCTCTGCCACAGTTCACTAGCACAACACACTGAGCAGGAACAAATCAAACTATTAAAGGTGAGATACACCAAATCACCTTCTCAAGTGACAGGCAGGCAGCAGCTACAGTGGAAATTCACAACCACAAATCCCCTGCACCACCCTGTGCGAGACAAAAGCTGGATCTGTCTCCACCAGCAAAAGGAAAACAAGGCACAGGAATGGCTGAGACATCAGACAGGCTCTCAAAGCCTCACCACTGCCTGACCTCAGATCAGAGCCATCAGCAGCTCCTGCTCAGGTTGTTGTCTCAACACACATGGGTCTGTCTCTTTGGAATCAATTATTCCTGGAAAGTCACTGTAATTACAGAATGCAATAAAGACAATAATACAGAAAACTCTGATCTTGGGAGACAAACAGAAAATTCCATTATCTCCCTTTAAGATTGATCTAGACTGCAGTAAAGATTAAGTGCTGTTCAGTGACCTTTTGTAATGTGATTTCTTTGGAAAATTGTCTTGAAGCTCACTGCAAATTATTTCAGTTTTAGCAGTTACATAAACTAATCAAGGGCAGTGTTTCAAAACAGACAAGCAGTTAATAGCCAGGTCAGTGAAATGAAGGAATAAGGATGGTCTTCTCCCTGCATTTATGAGGAATTCAGCCCAACATCCACCTTTGCAGATAACCTAGTAATTATCAAGGGCCTAAATGCAGCACAGAGATCCTTCCAAGTCCCTTTACAAGTAGGCCACTTCTCAGTTCAACAGTGAAAGCTCATTTCAACAATGATATTCAACTGTAACAAGTTGTCACTTTCCTTTGGTTTTCAGTGGGAACATCTGCTGTCTTCCCCACAGCCCTTAAACTGGTCAGAGTTCAAATGTCACACTTGAAGGACTGGATTAATTAATTACACCAAATCCCTCCTCCTGTGTGGCTTTCCCTTCCAGATAATATTCCTGCCATATTCATCCCTTAACAATAAACAATGCCAGGCCCATCCACACAGAGCACACTGACACCTTCATAATGAGTAATTAAATCCACGTTAACAAGAGAATTCCAGATCTTGTTGGAAATGCCCCTTTACTGCCTTCCCCAGTGCTCCAGTACTCTTCACCACATCAACACCACTGCAGCAGTCCAAAATTCAGCTCAAGGCTCCTCCCTTCTGCTTCACTTCATTTCTGAGGCATCACAATTCCAGAAATCAGAGAGACCAGAGCTTGCCAGCAAGAAGAAAACCTATCTTAACTCATACTGCACCAGAGACCCCCAGTTCACTGAATGTCTTCAGAAGTGCCCATCTGCAAGAGCCCAGGACACAGCTGTGCCAGTGCCTCTGCTTCCAGGGCATTCCACCTCGCTGGCATCCACAGAGCAGGAGACAAAACCTGCCCACGCTGAGCCTGCCTGCCACGGCACCTGGAACCCTTCTGAAAGGAGGCCAGAGTCCAGCAGAGCTGCCAGACACACATCCCCAGGCACTGAGCTGCAACGAGGCACTTACCCATCTCTACCTTTACTGACGATCTTCACTTCAAAGTAATAAATGCCACAGGCTGCAGGGATGGGGTGAGTGGCCCTGACCGAGGCAGCATCTTTGTGATTTTTACCGTGACCTAAGAAAGAACAGAAATGTGAGTACTGAGGGGACCTGGCCTCTCACACAGCCTGATCTAAAGCCTCACGATCTGAAGGCAGCAGGGATCTGTTTCTACACGGAGCCAGGCATTTAAAGCACACGTTCCAGAGAACCAGCACACACAACTCTGCTCTGCCACCACGAACAATTCCTACCGCACGAGCTTTTCACTTTTCCCTTTGTTTTCACTATGAAGTTTTTGAGAAAGACTCTCAGCACCACCTCTCCCCCTCCCCACAGGCATAATCTGAAGACCAGTGTACACAGACAGAAGACAAAAATGATTACACAAGAAGGGAATGACATCAGTGTTTACTAGCCAGGCTGGAAAAGGAATAATCACTTCTCCGCTGGGTGGGTAGGGAGAGCAGCTCCAACAGCGAGCAAGGCAAACATCGCACTGAGCTCTGCGAGCAGCTCTGTCCACCCGAGCAGCCAGAGCCCCAGCTCGGCGGCGAGCGGGGGCCAGCCGAGCCCCGGGCTGGCTTTGAGCGGGATGGCAGAGCACACACCCGGCCGAGCACGGCGCACAGCGTTACACAAGGGCACGCACTGCGCCCGGCTCCGCCGCTCCCGAGCCCGGCAGCCCGGCCCGGGGCCGCCCCGCTGCAGGCCGAGGCCGAACCCGGCGCCGCCGCCCCAGCCCGGCACCTTTGTAGTGGACGCGCAGGTTGCCTTGCGAGAGGCCGATGTAGTTGTACTTGTCCTTGGGGCTCCAGGAGCGCGGCAGCGGCGTCTCGTCCTGGTTGACGGCGGGGTAGAGGCGGCGGAGGCGCCGGCTCAGCTCCTGCTCCTCGGGCGGCCCCGGCGGCGCCGCGTCCCCGCCGTGCGGGCTCCCCGCGCCCGCCTCCGCCATCTTGGAGCCGCTTTGTGTCAGCGGGCGGGGAGCGAGGCCCGGCCGCGGCCGCCGGCCAATGGGCTGCGAGCGTGCCCACAATGGGGCCGCGCCGCCCGACGGGAAGCGCAGTCCGCGTCTCTGCCGCCCGCCCGTCCGTGGCGCTCGCCGACACTACAATTCCCGAGAGGCGGAGCGCGCAAAGCCCCGTGCCCCCCTCCGGCGCGCTGCACGCTGGGAACTGTGTCCCCGTCCCGCTCTGCTCCCCTCAGTGCCGTAGGGGTCGAGACTCCCACTCCCAGCGTGCTCCGCGACAGCGCGGAGCCCGAGGGCCGCCCAGCGCTTGCAGGAGCCCGCCGGCCGCCTCCGCGCACGGGCCGGTTTCGGCCGCCGCGCGGCGCCCGCGCGTCAGGCGCTGCGTGGGCAGCTATGGCGGCGCGCGAGGGGGTCCTGCGGGCGCGGCCGTTGCCATGGGGACGGGTAAACGGAGCGCGCCATGGCGGCGGGCGGGGCCGAGCGGCGGCGCCGGGCACACCGCACCGGGCACCGGGCACTCCGCACCGGGCACACCGCACCGGGCACCGGGCACACCGCACCGGGCACTCCGCACCGGGCACTCCGCACCGGGCACTCCGCACCGGGCACCCCGCACCCCGTGGAGCCTGCGGCCCGCGAAGCCTCCCGCGCTCCTCAGCTGCAGCCAAACGGCTATGCAGGCTGTGTATGTTTTTTGTTTTAAATACGATTGTGCCTTGAGAGCACCCTACAAAAACGGAACTGCTGCTGTGAAGCCGCGGCCGGCAGGAAGGAAAGCAAGGTCCTGGAGCAGACTGCGAGTACGAGCTCATCATCTCTGTATGACACACAGAATTCCACGTTTCCATTCTTTTTCCATGTCTCCATGGCAATAGCAGGCCCTTGTCATCATTCCAAAGCCGTGACTGTGGGAACAACTGGAGACCTGCTGAAGGCAAGAGCTGCATTCTCTGATCTGCCACTGAGCTTACAGCCCTGACACAAGCTGCTCGTGACAGAATGGTCTTCCTTTCCTTGAGAGAATATTTATGTAATTATAGAGTTGATATATTTATATATTTTTATATAATATATACATTTTAATATATATAATATAAATAATGTATTATATATCATATATACTATATAAAGAATACATATATTTATTATATAATACATTATAATATAATATATATTTATTATATATTATAATACATTATAATATATTGGATATTTTTATCTATAATTTATATTATATAATATATTTAATATGTATTATAGAGTATATAATATTACAATATATGTTAATATATAAAATATATTATAATATACGGTGTATTATGCAAATATATTATATATTAATATATGATTAATATAAATTTTATAATATATAACATATATATATATATATATTTAGATATCTGTACAAGCCATTTGATACCAAAAGTTCCAGCCTCTGAGGCTCCAGCCTGCCAAAGAGGTATCATCTGTTTGGAACACACCCAGTGTGAGGCAAAGGCTGCAGTGAGGTGAAGGATTCCCATGAGCTCCAAAGCCGGTGCCAGGCAGCAGGGACAAAGCACTGCCTCCTTCCCTTGCTCCCCTTGGAAGCTGCTCCTCCTGCTGTGAAAGTGAACTCTGGCACACACTGGAGAAGGGAATCCATCCCTGCAGGACACACAGACACTGCTCCCAGCAGAGCTCCTCTTTCCAACCCTTAGTCACACAGCATCAGCAAAAAACGCTCTTTGTTGTATTAATGGAATCGTGTTTTGGAAAAACCCTCAAATGCCTGCCACTTGGATTGGCAGTGCCTGCTGAAGAGATTTTAACTGCACTGGCCTGTGTCCTTCAGTGCTGCCCAGAACCTGAGCAGCAGCTCAGCTGCTGCTGCAGAGCTGGGCTGGATTTCCAGGGGTGCCCAAGAACTGTGAGGAGGCCACAGAGCACACACAGCACAGCCCAGAGGGGAGGAGGATCCACACCTGCAGCCGGACTCAGGACAGCCTCAGATGGGGAGAAACAACTCGTGCCACACTGCCTGCCCAGAAGGAACTGAGGAGAAAGTCCAACATCCATCTCCATCCCTCTGAAACTGGCACGTCTGACAGGCATTTTTCTTTCCCAGCTTCTGAACTGTTCTACAGTCACACTCCCTGGCACCCTTTGCTGTGCCAGATCTCACTCCTGGTGTGGTTTAGGCTCCCTGGAAGCAGTACAACCACACACAACAGTTTTGATTTGTTTCCCTGTGTGAGGAGCACAGCATGGACCAGCTCCTCCATGCAGCATCTGCACCCACACAGCCAAATCCCTGCTAGGAACAATTTCAACACCACAGTGCAGGAGGAGCCTCTAAGCTCACTGGCATCACAAAAAACACACATAACATTTTATTTATCAGAACTGTACAAGTATCCAAAGCTAACATATAAAAATACAGTCAAATTGTTACAAAAGCATCACCTGGAGCAGTGACATGGAACTGCCACCATCCCACCCCAGGGGCCAGCCCTGCAGCTTCACTTGGAGGGGATCACCTTATTTCCACTCACTGCCATGGGAATCAGGAGCCTGCGGTACTCCATGGGCAGGTGACGCTCGATCAGCACCGTCAGGGGCACCTTGTCTGTCACCAGCCCCTGCCTGTGGCCAGAGAGAGCAGGAAGAACAAAGGTGTTAGTGAAATGTGCTTCCACTCCACACCAGAGTAGTTTTCTTGCAGTGATGTTTTTGCACTTAGGAGGTGAAATGCTCTGACTGCTTGTGACAAACGGCTCCAGACTCGTGTTTGCTCCTGTGCATGCTGCAGAGCCAGGACTGCCCACACAGCACAGCAGACAGACCAGAGGGCTCCTGCAGAGCAGCTTCCCACTGTTTACCGTGGGGATATTCATCTGTATTGATCAGGACCAAAGCAGAGGCTCATTGCTTTTTAAATCCACAATCCACCTGCCATGGGATAAATTCTACCCTTGGAAGACGTGCACAGAATGATGTGACAGAAGGAAATGGCTCAGTACCCAGATTTTCTTACAGTCACAACTCAGAGGTGGTTGGCATTTGCTAACTGTGTGTAGGCCATGGAGTTTTCCTGTACACCATTTAGCTGACTGACCTGAAAAAATCAGCATCTCCCAGTTTTGTAGAAAGAAAGAAAGAAAGTGCAACATTTATTCACACTTCCCATGTGGAAGGAACAGAGATGCTGTTCTTATGCATGAGCCAGCAACAATTCCTGATCTCTTTATGAGGCAGTAAAAAGGCAGAAAGACATCTAGAACAAGGTGAAACAAGTACATGGAATTCCCAAACCAGGACAAGTAACTCATCATGCCTTCTGGCCTGTTCATACCAACCTCAGCACCTGTCAAGTGGGAAAACAAAATCCCTGGATCAGGACAGCAACAAATTATTCTCTTTAGGCAGCAGCACCAGCTCACCTACAGAGGCCCATGCAAAGCCAGTGTCATCAGCTGTGCCCTGTACTATCCCCCAGGTGACTTTAACATCACATTTGAAACTCTTCCAGTGGAGACTAAGAACAACCACCTAGAGTAATGAATTTAAATGAAAAGTGGTGGATTGCTTCAGGCTTCACAGAGGGCTTCCAAGCCAAGAATAAATCCCTTTTATTTGGTCACAGAACAAACTAAATCCAGGCAGGAGATGGGGCAACTATGAACACCCAGAGGACAGAACACCAGTGAGGCAGCTCTGAGAACAGCTCTTCCAGGCTGCTGACAGGAATGTTGCTGTTAGGAGAGGCCAGCCCTGCCCACCTGGGCTGGGGGCTCTTTCTGCTGCTCTCGAGAGGAACTGCCAGTTTGGATCCCAAGCATCAGCTTGTGCAGCAACAGGAAGAGCAAGTCACCAAAACAGACAGCAGGACACGTGAAAATGCTCAGAGTGTCAGCTGCAGATGATTTTAGCAAAGAGCTCACTCAAGGATGCAAACAGTGCAGCCCAGCACTCCCTCTTAGCATTTCTCCAGATCCCACACTTACTATACAAACACTGCTGGTGCACAATCTGGCAACAACCAGGTGTTACTGGGCTATCAAAGCACCACCAAACACTGCTGCAAATTCGTAAGAACCCTTCCATTACCTTCTCATCAGGACTTCCAGGTCAGCTGCCTCCACTGTCTTCCTCCCTGCATGGTGGGCGTAAGCTTCCAGATCATTGCTCAGCTGCTTGAAGAATCTCTCGCAGCTGAGGGGGAAATCAAACCAGACTGTGGAGTGTGTGAACACCAGCTACTCACCCCCTTCTGCAGGGCAAGCTGCACCACAGCTGCTCCTTGTGCAGGTCACAGCCTGCCAGGGAAGGCTGGGGGAGAAGAAACTCTCAGCCCACAAACAAAGCTTGGCTTCTCAGCCCAGGCTCCCTGGAATTCCACTGCCAAGACAGCTGTGAAACAGCTGCACAACCAGCACCTTCCCACACCTCCCACGCCTGCAGGAACAGGGGCTGACAGCAGTGACACAGGAATCAGCACTGAGGGTCAGATACTGGCTGCTGCAGTGACAGTGTTCAGACAACACACAGACTTTACTCATGAAGGCAGCAAGGTCTAAGGGTGCAAAGAGCTGAGAAACCAGCATTGCAATGGAACACTGCACACCCTCACTGTGCCCAGCACAATGGCCACTGTCCAGAGCCATCCTGCTCATGGAAATTGATAAAGACAATCTGACTGCTGCAATTTGTTGGGACAAAACCCAGATGCTCCTGCAAGGCTGCACTGATCAGATACCCACAGAGCACTTAGCACATTTCTGCCCATTTGTATCAGGCCTCCCAAGACTCTTTGCAGTTGAAGAGAGAGGGCTGTCAGATTGTCAGCAGCACTCTCAACAGGTTTATTACTTCAGGAGAGAAAAGAAATAAAAACAAGAAAAGAAAGAGCAGTTTGTTGCTACGTACCATTTTTCAACAATTTGGAATGCATCTCTGTTTACTGGCATTTTAGCAAAATGTCTGAATATCTTCTTTATCAAACTCCTTGGTACTTGAGGCTCACGTGGTGTCTTTTTGGATGTTCCCAATCTCTTAGAAACTTTCTTAGGCTGCAGCAGCTGTAGGGGAGATCTTTGAGAGGAAAATTGAAAATTCACACATTGAATGAACAAGGGAGAGGCAGAGAACACCAGGCTGAGTTTGGAGAAACCCTAAGCTGAATTGGAATGGATAAGAACTACCTTGAGCTCTTCATTCTTTCTCCCTCCCAATTCTTCAAAACTCTCACAGGGCAG